TGCCAAGATAGCTTTGTGTTACAAGAGCAGCAGAATTAATCAGATCACTGAAAATCTCTTGTGGTCTAGTTGCAAGGATATATGGCAGAGAGTGGGGTTTGCATTAAACTCAGGTGCTTGAATCAGAATTTTGTTCTGCAGGAGAGAGTGTAAAACAAAAAACATTTCTGTATCACATCAAGCCAAAAATTTCCTCTTCCAGACAGAAACACGAAGCCACAAAGAGCACAGGGAGGCCAGAATGAAAATGCAGTGAAGGAAGCTGCAGAAATGCCACCTTTGCCGGAGGAGCACACCAGAAGAAAAGGCTGTCCCACACCTCTTTTTCCCCATACCTTGTGCTCTTTTGGGGTAGCTGCGTGGTGTCACCGAGGTGCTCTGATGGCTCATGCAGAAGCAGGAAGTGGGGACAGAGTTCTGGTAGAGTTATAAGGGAGCCTTTTCCCTCTTCCCCCAGGGCTCTCCCAACATTCTTGGAGCAAGCTGCAGTGCTGGCTGTTGGGGAGGGCAGACCTTACTCCTGACAAGACACTGCCACACGGCAACTCAAGGTGCGGGCAAAACCTCCACCTCTGGGACTGCCCCCCAGCCCTGCAGATTCAGATGTTCTTGTGGTTTGTGCCTTTCTGTTTAGCATCTGTTGCACAATCAGAATGAAGAAATAGTGTTTTGAACATGAAGGACCAACCAAGGTCTCCCATCTTGATGCTAGCACCAGACACAATGGTATGCATTATCACCTACCTCCCAAAATCTGCTGTGTGTGCTGTGGAGCCACAGGCTGGCAGGACAGCATCACCACTTATCTCCTGTATCTGCTGGGTCTGTACCCACACACTGCAGCTGCAGCTGAACAGGGGCTTTCAGTTTCATTTTTGGGTCTCCCAGATCACAGAGAGGGAGTGTGAAGTGCTGGAGGGACACCATGGGCTAGTCTTGACAATACCTCTTTTCTGGTTCAAACCCCTCTAACTTTCCTTTAATCCCTGAAAAGTGCTTCCTCTGAATGTCCAGTGCATGTGTGCCATTATGGCTGCATGTTCCCCAGTAGAGCTTCTACTATCTAGCAGCTAATGCCTGTGTTTGCTCCATTACTTTGCACACATATTAATCAAATTACATTTCTTACAGGACAGATTCCAATTGGACTTCTACAGCATCTGATTACTAGTGAAAATCATGTTTTTTGTTTCTCAGATTATTTATTTTTTCCTTGAAAGCACTATACCTTTTCTGAAGTTACCAGTTATTATTCAGACTACTCCAAGAGCAACTCTGTTCCCACTGAAGTGAAAGGAAGCTTTACTGCTGACTTTGAAAGCACCTGAAACCAGCCCTTAGAACCTTTGGTTCTGAACAAATGTTGAAATGACTCTGTTGGGAACTATGTTCTCAGGAAATATATCCAGTGAGCAATGAGGTCCACACACAGGCAGACCTGAGCTGGGAACTGTTCTGAGAGCACCAGGATACACCACTGGGGTGAGGGGGTTTAAGGTCTCCTGGATCACATCCTTCAAGTCCCCACACAAACCCCTTTAGTCCAGTTCAGTGTAGAAAGCTTGTCCTGAAGTACAAGATTTTCCTCAGCTGCCACAGGCTCAGCTACGGCTCCCAGAAGCCACTGACAAAAATGCTAGTTTTAAAAAAGCACAGTTGCTTTCAGTATCAATCATCCTGTCTGAAAATATATATTGGTTTGGAATAAATAAAATTGGGAGGTAGTAGTACCAAAGACAAACTGGCTGCAGTTATTCAGATTAAAACTTCCACTTCACTTGAACAAATATCAGCCTGTCAGATCACTGCAGGGTGTGAAGACATGAGATAGCAAGTCAAAAGGAAATGCTTCTTTCATTTTGTGATTCCCACAGTCCATCCACATTACTTTCTTTCTGTTTGAAAGAGAAGACAGATTTTGTGAAGTCAATTAATAAAAGAGAAGTGAATGGATTCTATTCAAGCAGCCAGACCACATACAGCCCCTATTTGTTATTTTGTTTTTCATATATATTGGCACTTCAGTAGCATTGCAATAAGTAAAGGCTCCTCTTATGATGGCTGACAATAATAAAGAGAGTTTCTCCACCAGTTTCCAGTGTCAGCCAGCATGCAAGTTTCGGGAGGCTTACTGGTCAAGAAAATGACAGAGTTTGCACAGCCTTCACTAAGGGATTGCCAGCAACCTTTGCTCATGCTGAGATCACTGCTGGACAAAAGAGAAATAGGGTTTGCAGAGGATCAATGCTGCAAGCACTCAGAACTTCAGTGTTGGAACTGTTAGCAACCCAGACTAAGAGCTGCAACTTCATCAGAAAGACTGTTTTGAAGTCCATTCTATAACACTGCACTGCTTTTAGCTGGCTGCCAGCCTGAAATGGAGCAAATGCTGCCATGTACGAGCCATTTACTCTTTGCCACAGCAGCAGCTTCTGAGACTGGCAGAGCAGCAAAATTATGAGAGAAGAGCAGAAAGTAGAAGGAAAAAAAAGTATCAAAGCAGGAAAAAATAGATAGCACACACTCACACACTAGGTTTCTTCAGGATTTTTTCAGGATTTTTTTTACAGTTTCCTTTGTGTATCATTTCCACCCTGCCTGTATGGACAAATCTGGGGGTCAGGTGTCCTTCTTTCAGTTCTGCCTCACCTGTGGAATTTTTACCTGTTAGTTCCAGGGGGAGGGGGGACCTGACTGCGGGTACCTGGTGGGTACTTGAGAAACACAAAGAGTTCGGCTGGGCCGGGGGGAAGGGGGCAGGAAAAAAGGAGGGAGGGGACAGTTCGGCAGCTTCTTCAGCTTCGGAGAAGGACGCTCTGCTGGAGCTGTTGCTGTGGGGAGAGGGGAATTCGCCATCACCCAGACAGAGCTGCTGCTTCTCCTTCTCCCCTCTTCGTTGGTGGCCTCGCACTCCCCGTCCTGCCGGGACGTGTGGCACTGCCAGGCAGCACCACGGAGCTGCTGATCCACCTCAGCCACCGCCCCGGGATCTCTGCTCATCCCTCTGCTGATCCACCTCAGCCACCGCCCCGGGACCTCTGCTCATCCCTCTGCTGATCCACCTCAGCCACCAGCCTGGGATCTCTGCTCATCCCTCTGCTGATCCACCTCAGCCACTGCCCCGGGATCTCTGCTCATCCCTCTGCTGATCCACCTCAGCCACCAGCCTGGGATCTCTGCTCATCCCTGCTGTTCCAGCCGACTGTTCCTCAGAGCCCTGCAGGAGCACCGGGACTGACTGCCCGAGGGGGTTTGTGAAACAAAGCCTCTCCTCCATCCCTTCCCATCTCAGCTGAGAAAGCTGTCACAGGGTCCCTGGTTCTGTTTTCTTGCTAACGCTGTAGTTATTGTTGTGTGTTTGCCTGGTTATACACACTGGTAAAGAACTGTAGTTCCTATCTCCAGATCTCAGCCTGAGAGCCCTTGATTTCAAAATTATAATAATTCGGAGGGAGCCACATTTTCATTCTAAGGGTGGCTCCTGCCCTCCCTAGCAGACACCTGTCTTCCAAAACCGAGACAATGAAGGACAAAAGATGAACTGAGACAGCCTGATTGGTGCGACAAGAAGGGTAGGTTCCCGGTCTTTATTCAGAACAGAAGACAACCAGATACAAAAGTTATGAGTTCTTCACTTCCCAGAAAGCTCCCTGAAATAA